TTGGAAAATAATGAGTTTTGCTCAGTTTTAGATTTGAAGTCAGGTGCAGCATCATGCAACTGTCCACCATGTCCTTATCTGAACTTAAAAAACGGCTAGAATTTCTATCTGCAGTCCTGACCATGTTGCGGCCATAATGCGCATGCACACATGAGTCGTAATGGGCATAATGCTCCCATGGGGAAGCAAGTTCGTATTCAACCTGTGTCATTTTTTCACACTAGATAGTGCTCCAGAATACAGTGTGAGTCAGAAGCACGCTAACTATAATCGGGGTCTGAGGTTACTCAATTCATGGAAGAGAAGTTCATTAATTTTCTATTTACGGTTGGTTTGTTTTTCAGGCTAAGAATTGGCCACCACAAGAATAAGTATTTCATTACATGCAGTTGAGACTGTGCATCTCTTCTCCTCCAATGGTCTGCCATTGCGCTAGATGAAGCTAATGGTGTTAGCAGCAGGCAGGCCTCTTTATGTCCCTCTGCCCTGCCCACAGAGGAATCTTGATGCGTTTGATATTCTCCTAACAGCTGCCAGAGACAGAACAGGGAATGCTGGGATTGCTATGTACAGCTGAAATGTCAGGAGGCCTCCTGTACAGCGGGTGTTATTTATAAGGCTTAAAGGAAAGGGGAGAAGATCTGCTGGGTGTTAGAGCTTAGTTACGCAAAGAGATCAGCGTCGTTACCTTGGGTTTTTTCTTCTTCTTGAAAAGTTCAGTGGTTTATTTGTGCGTATAAAATGTAAACATGGCACCGATTAATACAGCTGTCTGTCAGTATACCCGATGTGTGAATTTCTGGTAAGATAGAGCCATTGGATAATGAATAAACACAGACACTAGATGTCACTGTATCTTTTTAGTGTTCTGTTTGTTTTAGAGTTCACACAGGTATTATGGATTGTAGACTAGGACTGTTTACTTGCATATGGGCTTGATCTCAGAGATGAGGCAAATTAAAGAGAAATTTTACATTTTTCTCATGCTTACCATCCTTAAAGTGAACATTAATTCACAAATTTATGATTGAATATTTTTTATCATATAATTGTTTTCTTGATGGATGAGAGTATGTACTCATTTTGTGAAGAAAAAAACACAAAGTTTTGAGTGTGTAAGCTTTGGTATATATTGCTTCCTCAATAATGGATCATTCTGTTGTTTAGTTGGATAACCTATCAGTCATCTTGTCACATTATCCACATTTCTACCATAAATAATTAAGTTATTAAAGATGCAGCAGCCCATTATTCAGCCATTCGCCGGTCTTTCGTGCACAGAAATCTCCTCAGGTGTTTGGATAATTATGCATTCAGAAGAAATAGACCAAACACGTCTTTATAAAAGTTTGTGTTCTTGCACATGAAATATAAAGCAGAAAATGTTAAATAAGTAGGTTCTATTAGGTTAGATATTAATTAACAATCATTTAAAAGATTTGATCTTTTCTTGACTGCCTTAAGATTAACCATCAGTTTCACGCATATGTAGTTTGACAATTTATATATCCTTGTTTGTAGTTTTAATTGAAGTCAAGTCCAGTGCATTAGCCAGGCAGCATCTGTCAATAGTGTATGCAAGGCCTTACACTTTTTACTGGAAATAGTAGACCACTCGTGTAACTTTGGAATACTCATTTCAGCGTACTATGATTTGGAACACACTCTGTTGTTTAAAAATATTTAGGATGGATAGTATTTGAATTTGGATGCAGCATTAGTGTGTACGGATGGAATTCCAATTCCATCATAGTCTTGTTTGTTAAATCTACCTAAAACAGGCACAATGCCAATTGGGGTCTCTGCAAATGTTCAGTTTACAATTATTTAAAGACAATTACAATTGCTTGAAATAAGTTTTTTATTCATTCTCTCAACAATGAAGAACTGAGATTGTCACTTACTTTTAAAAGCCTTGTGGACTTTTTGAATATTTTTTTTGACAGCCAGGGGTCTTGCAGTCAAAAAGGTTGATTTGAAATGGTTTACAGCATTGATGTCCAATCTTATTGCTGGATGACCACTGTCCTGCATATTTAAGCACACCTGAACCTAATCAAGCTAATCAAGGTTTTGTTTAGATACATTTAGATAGGTGGGATGGAGCAAGTTGGAGATAAGCTCTGCAGGACACTCCTAATGCCAAAGTTATTTGGATTTATACCTCCTGCCAAATTTTGCATAAAGATCAAATGGAGAACCTATGACATTTGAAGTCAGTCAATGTGTACAGCCACAAATAATTTATTATTTACCTGGAGCAGGGGTCTCAACTCTGGCCATTGAGATCCACAGTCCTATAAACGTTAGCTCTAATTCTAATCAAACACACCTGGATAATTTAACCAAGGTCTTCAATATTGCTTTGACGTTCCAGCCAGCCAGATAAGTTTGATTAAAGTTTGAGTTAAACTGAAAGAAATTGGATATTGAGGGCTAAAGTTGAGAGCCCCTGATTTAGAGTTTGTGATTCAGTGGAGAACAGTGAAGTGACTCATCAGTGCTTTCATTCTCCACAAATAGTAGGCTTTGTCTACCTCAAGTGTTAAGTCCGATTGTCATTTGCTTTGAAGGTTTCTAAAGCAGAAAGGAAGCTCTCTGCACTGCAAACATTATGCTGCAGGTACAGTGCCCTGAAACATTTTTGACTTGTCCCATTACTCCACTCCCCAAGTGCACCCCATGAACCCTCGGGAGCCGTATATTGCAGAGATCTGGCTCACTGAGCTATCTCCCCTCTCTCTCTGCCTTCCTCTGCACGTAAACAAAGTCTTGATCGAGCAATTTGCACATCATCTGTGCTCTGGCTAACTTTAGTCTTTCTCTTTGGGGCTGGGAGGGGGCTTCCATTCCCATAATACAACTTGCTCACCCATACAGACATTTGACACAGCCTACCCCCTCCCCTCTGTATCTGTGTGTTCAGCCCCCTGCTCAACAGGACAGGACTGGTACAGAGAGAGAGAGAGGGGACTGGTCTGGGAGGCAGACCCCGGAGCAGCTCATGTTTCGCAGGGCTGCGAACCCGTTGGCTATGGACTTGTGTTGAGATTTTGTGTTTTGTAGTTTCGAAGGGCAATCAGGAGGCTGGCGGCCTGGCCTCTCTGGTACAATGCTTCTGGATTCCAGCCGGCACAGTACCAGGCAAGATTCTAGGAATTGCATTGTGTGCCAAGACACATCCACCTTGCATCCCTGGACAAAACCTTTCCAATGAGAGTTTTGAAGTGAGCGGACCGCTGGGAGAACAAGTGTACAAGGAACACTGGCCAGAACGGAGTTCTCTGCAAGCTCCTGAACGGAGACTGACCCACCTTGACGGAAGTCCCTGAGGACATACTTTGGGAGTTGCTTGTGCATTTTGTTGTTGTATTTTTTGTGGGCTTCTTCTCATTTCTCACTTTTTGAGTCCTTTGACATTGCAAATATGATGATCAAGGAGGCCTCGTTAAGGGAAGATCCCGACTTGCGGGGTGAACTGGCCTTTTTGGCCCGCGGATGTGACTTTGTCCTTCCATCACGTTTCAAGAAAAGGCTCAAATCTTTCCAGCAAGCCCAGGTCAGTAGCCAACCTCTGTAGTTCTGCAAATAATACCATGGCTAACTCTCACATGCCAGACAAGACAAACTATTCACAGGCAGATACCAACGTGTTTATTAATAGGACAGTGGAAGGGGGTGAGATAGAGATAGAGGAATACAGTGTCCAAGTGTTGCGTACTGGAACTTTTGCATGGGAAGGGGGAGGGAGTGGACAAGACGGGCCAGGCCAGGCTTGAGCCACAGCTGCTCTCTTCAATGCATTCATGTGGGCCTGTCCTGCTTGCTGTTTTCATCTTCAAAATTTTTGTCACACTTCAACAGCTCTGTTTCTGTTTGATTGACAGTAAGACTGTGCTGTTCAGAAATAAGCTGCCTTAGGTGTACACTATGAATCTACAGTTTTGCCCAGAGACCAGAATAAGAACAGTATGTCAAGACTATGTATAGAATGTTTTGGACATTTCCACAGCTTGTCATTAGAAGTTTAACCTTGGTGTCACAAGGTCTTGTCAGAAAAGTATGAAGTAAACGGACTTTAGCTGTCAGTGTTGGGCCTATGAATTAGACTGTGCGCATGCAGTGTTTTGGATCACCATGCAACATGTGCCAATCATATGTCCAGTCCAATGGGAGTTCAGCCTGAATCACTCTACCAATAGTTAAAAAACATGGCTGAAAGCAAAAGTAATTAAACCCCATCAATTAATCTTTGACATTTTGGTGGGGACAGGAAAGTAAAGTGGAAAATATCTGTCTTATTTTTGCTAAGAAGTTTCTGTCATCTCATTGGCAGGAAAGTTGATAAGGCCCTGCTGTGACTTTACTGATAATCCAACTATGACTATGTTAGATGACTGAAAGACATCATCATGCACGTCAAGTACCTAGAGAAAATTTCACACAAAGTCCTCCAAAAGATCACTAGCTATTATGTTTCCATTTAAGCATCTTTAGCGTAATGGTTGACTTTAAAGTCATAAATTGTTTGTAATCTTTCTAACATTTATATTTGGAATTGCTTGGAATAGTCTAGGAATCCAAAAAGCTTAGAAAAGTCTTATGAGAAGATCTGCACTAAATATAAAAAACATGCATCTTTGAAGAGTCTTCTCAATATCGGTTGAAGTCATTTTAAATTTTTGCAAAGTTCAACAGGGTATACTGTATATGACCAAAAGGAAATTAAAGCTAGCATTTAATTAGCTTTGTTTGTGTGGTAAGAACACCTAAACATCTTATTGCTGGGTGATTTGCAGTACCTTTTTCCACATCCTCCATTTGCTTCAGACACATCCTCAGCTGAACTATTTAAGATATGTTTTGGAAAGTCACTTCTATTTTCCTCTTCTCTTCAGCTCAATGTTTTTAAAGCCTTGTAAAAAAAACTTAAGGCCTAAAAGTTGTTGCACGTATTGATATCCTGTTTCTTTCTATCGTCTCTTTTTGTATTTCAATAGATCCAACCTGAAAAGAAACCTGGAACTCCTCCTCCAACACTATCACCTGCACCGTCCTCGCCGACCCCACGGCCACCCAGCCCTCCTCCAGCCAAAGTAGTGGCCACACCACCACCCTCCTCCATAAACATTCCACGCTTCTACTTCCCCAAAGGCCTTCCAAACTGTGCAGCCAACTACGACGAGGCCATTGCCAAAATCGAAGCGGCCTTCACTGAGTTCGAAGAGGAGAAAGCTGACATTTATGAAATGGGAAAGATAGCAAAGGTGCATGCAAATTGGGAATTGTTTTGCTTAAAATGAGATTTAGAATATTGGAGATTCTCTCCGTAGTCTTGGATTGATGGCAATAAACATGCAAGCTGACACTTGTTTTGCAAAGTCCTCGCTTGGAGATTTGCATTGCCGATTTGTATTGGCATGGCACAATGATGGATGCCAGCTCATAACATTGTGCTTTATTTGCACTGATTTTGAATAATATATAAACGATGGAATATAAAAAGGAAGCATCAACAGAATAACTCATCCTGACATTTACACTCATTTATATTTGGATTTTGAATATCATATCATTTAGATTTTAGTAATAGAATGCAAATGTGATATCAGCTGCGTTATTTTATTTCTGTGAAAAAAAATAAGATTGTGTATGTGGCTTTATATACCAGGGCTATTTAAAATATTGGGAAAACATCAAATTCATGCATATTATTTTCACAGGCATGCGGGTGTCCCCTCTATTGGAAATCACCAATGTTTATTTGCGCTGGTGGAGAGAGGACAGGTTTCGTTTCTGTTCACTCATTTATTGCAACATGGAGAAAGTAAGTGTCAGCGCATGTCACTTTACTTGAACAAAGTGCATTATAAATCTTGTGTGGCACTGGATTGAGGTTTCTGCCCTCATTTTATTTTTCACAGGTTATTGCACAGCTGCTATGATGATGCATCCAAGTTTGTTTACTTGTTGGCCAAACCAGGCTGCACTTACCTGGAACAAGAAGATTTTATCCCTCTGTTACAGGTTGGAGCATTGTACTTTAAATGCATTGTGTTGTTTTCAATGTCAATGCTAGTTGCTAACTTTAACCCTTTAGTTTGAATGAAGTACATATGCAATTGTGCTTTGACAATAAGTAAAAGAGGTCTTAGTGAAATAACATGTGAAATAAGATGAACACAGTGAATTAACATAGCAGACAAACAATCAACTAAATGAAGATAGAAAAATATTATATTATTCATTCGTTCATTTTCTTGTCAGCTTAGTACCTTTATTAATCCAGGGTCGCCACAGCGGAATGAACCGCCAACTTATCCAGCAAGTTTTTATGCAGCGGATGCCCTTCCAGCCGCAACCCATTTCAGGGAAACATCCGCACACACATTCACACACACACTCATACACTACGGACAATTTAGCCTACCTAATTCACCTGTACCACATGTACCACATGTCCCACTGTGGGGGAAACCGGAGCACCCGGAGGAAACCCACGCAAATGCAGGGAGAACATACAAACTCCACACAGAAACGTCAACCGAGGCTCGAACCAGTGACCCAGCGACCTTCTTGCCTGTATTATATTATATTATATTATATTATATTATATTATATTATATTATATTATATTATATTATATTATATTATATTATATTATATTATATTATATTATAGGCGAGGCAGTGGTGCAGTAGGTAGTGCTGTCGCCTCACAGCAAGAAGGTCGCTAGGTCACTGGTTCAGACCTCGGCTCAGTTGGCGTTTCTGTGTGGAGTTAGTATTTTCTCCCTGCCTTCGCTCCGGTTTCCCCCAAAGTCCAAAGACATGCGGTACAGGTAAATTGGGTAGGCTAAATTGTCCGTAGTGTATGAGTGTGTGTGTGTGAATGTGTGTGTGGATGTTTCCCAGAGATGGGTTACGGCTGGAAGGGCATCTGCTGTGAAAAAAACTTGCTGGATAAGTTGGCGGTTCATTCCGCTGTGGCGTCCCTGGATTAATAAAGGGACTAAGCCAACAAGAAAATGAACGAATGAATATATTATATTATATTATATTATATTATATTATATTATATTATATTATATTATATTATATTATATTATATTATATTATATTATATTATATTATATTATATACATTTATTGTTTATATAACATTTACTGTTATGTTTGGACGTTCACAGTTATGCTTCTGGAATTTCATTTATTTTTTTGTGATCAGGACATTGTGGATACTCATCCTGGGCTGACTTTTTTAAAAGATGCTCCTGAATTCCATTCCCGGTACATCACAACAGTAAGTAACTTTATCAAGTGCTAAGTGGAACAGTTAGGACACTTCTCATGGGGATACGATTACTGAAGTTGTGATTTAGTTGTCATTAGATGCTACATTTTATTTTAAACTACATCCCATAACATTATAGCATAGGAAGCATTTTATTTTTGTTTTGTTTTGTGTGTGTGTGTTTGTGTGTGTGTGTGCATTGTAATCCAAAAGGTGATTTGCAGCATTACAGACTTTGATTTAAAGCAAAATTAGACAAAAGTGAACAAGATCAGGAACTTAAGGGCTTCAATAAGCACTGTAGAAAAAACAAAGTTGACTCACCTTAAAATTTTAAGGCAACAAACTTCAGGACATTTTTGAGTTGACTCAAAAAATTTTTTAAACCCAATTACTGCACTTGACTCGATTTAAGTTGAATAAACTCAAAAATGTTCGGAAGTTCGTTACCTCAAAATTTAAAGTTGAACCAACTTTAATCCCATAAAGCGTTGTGAATAACAATGTTTATTAGGAACAAAAGGAGATACGGCACTATAAGAGGCATTGTTCCCCAAAAAATTTAATCTCTATCATCATTTCCTCATCCTTGTTCTAAACCTTTTTGAGACCCCTTCTTCAGTTAAACACAAATGAAGATAGTTTGAGCTGACACCTATTATCCTTCAAAGTCATTGTTTTCCTAGTATATAAGTTAGTGGGTAGGAAACCACCATCATTCTTCAAATTATCTTTTTTTTGTCATTATCAGAAGAAAGAAATGCATAAAGGTTTAAAACCACATGTAGGAGAGTAAATGATTGGGTCATTTCCATTTTTGGGTGAACTGTCCCTGTAATAGTAAGTGTTATTTATATCTGTATTTACTATTGTTCTATATTTCAAATTATGAATTTTCAAAACAGAAACATTTAGTTACTGAGAGCATTATATGAAAAATCAGTGCTTCTGTGGAGAGAAAATTCAGAAGAGACTTGCGTTTTGCTTGCTTGCGTCAACAGGTGCATGACTTTTCTATGTCATGGCTTGATCATCTTACCTGCATCTGTAGCATTGCTGGAATACTTTTGGTTTTGAATTTGAAAGCCTCGTTAGCTTACTAAAGTGTTTACAGTTAATCAGATCTGGCTATCTGAGCCGGTGGAGCGTCCAAACAGTGAGATGTGGAGCCCAGTGCGCCTGTCTGTCTGTGTGCGGAACAGCTGCAACACGTGCTGCCGAGGGGCTGGGAAGGGTAATGGCGTCAAAGTGGCCTGACATCACGGAAACACGGATGCCACTAACAGGCCGCTGACCCTGGTCTTGCACAAACCCATATTTAGACAGTTCCTTGCACTGGCGCACTGGCTGACACACCCCGGTACCAATCTCTCTTAGGAGGACTGATCTACCAGGAAATGCATGCTAATCCACACTGATGTCATTGTTGCTCTTATTTGAGGCCTTTGTCACCCCAGGGCTATAGATATAACTCAGTACAACCAATCACTGGATGACTGTACCTTCAGAATCAAGCGCTGTATAGAGCAACGCTTTTGATTCAATTTCTTAATTGTTGTTCTGTTCCTCATACTTCTGAAGTTTGAAATATAGAGTCATTTGTTATCAAATCAACCACATTTCATGAAGTATTTATTGTCATGCTTTTGTATAAAAACCACCAAATATAAATGTGGATGACAGGCAAATTAGTATCTTGAATGTATATTTACTGAGTACATCAATGAATAGATTGGTAAATCTATTAGTAAAATAAATAAACGTTAGCAGCCTTTGTGGCATTACAGTATATGCTAAATGTTGTTCCAAAAGTTTTTATAATATTAATATAATATGCAGTTGAAATCATAATTATTAGCCCCCCTTTTAATTGTTTTATTTCTTTTTTAAATATTTCCCAAATGATGCATAACAAAGCAAGGACATTTTGACAGTATTTCCGATAATAATTTTTCTTCTGGAGAAAGTCTTATTTGTTTTATTTTGACTAGAATAAAAGAAGTTTTACATTTTTTAAATGACATTTTAAGGTCAATATTATTAGCCCCCTAAGGCCTTTTCCATAGTCTACAGAGCAAACCATCATTATAAAAAATATAGTATCATTAGATTGTTAGAAACAAATATATATTAAAGTATTATATACTGTCATCATGGCAAAGATTAAAGAAATCAGTGATTAGAAAGCAGTTATTAAAACTTTTAAACCCCTTAACTTTTTTCAAGTTTAGAAATGTATTTAAAAAAACTATCCATTAAACAGAAATTAGGGAAAAATAAACAGGGGGGGCTAATAATTCAGTATTCTCATTTTTAAAAGCACTATACCGGTTATTTCTAGAGATTATAGGGATTTCAGTGTCTTGTCAAGTCATGTTTTTTTTTTTTACTTTTTTTTTTTCAACAAAAGTCATGCAGGTTTGAAACAGCATCAAAAGGCATTTTCATGTTTGAGTGAAATTATTTTTTCTAGTATATAACAGTTAGCTATCAGCTTAATCAAGACATCCAGATGCACTTGTTTTTACAGTATGAGCACAAGGTTTGATATTGAGATTTGATAGATTTTTAAATTAAAATAACATTTACGTTCTGTAACCATAATTATTGTGCAGTTGTGTGTCAAGTCAGATTTTATGATTTATTAAAGTGCAAGCAATTTTTTAGTTTTAACCAGACACACACACACACACACTTACAGGCACTGGATAATTTACAATATTATCATATGTGTAGGATTAATATCATTTTAACCCTTAAAAATAGAGTTTGTTTACATAATTCCACTGCTATTTTTTCTGTGGATTTATTTAATTCTTATTTTTTATGTACTAAAGCCAATAATTTATTTATTTTTTGATAAACTTTGATATGCATGTTTGCATTTCCTATGCAATCATTTTTGTAACTTAAGTAAAATATATTTATGAAAGAAATGAGGGTATATTGTTGAAAGGTTTAATAAAAACACACCTCACTTTGTTGCCAATTTAAAATGAAAATGAAATAAAACAGAAGCCACCATGTTTCTAGTCCACTGAATGCATACACACACTCTAGGGCTATTGGAGAGATATAACATTATAATATTTTGTTATTGTGCAATATATATTTTTGTATGAATACAATTTCACCAGATTGATTGGGATTGTTCTGTATTGGAGAGCAGCTGCATATAATCTAATAAACAATCTACAAGCTCGGGTCAATACAATAAAGAAAAACATACAATTCAATTAAACAGTGTTTTATTGCTTTACTAGTGTAACAGTATACAGGTACAGTAATCCAGTTCTAAAAATAAAGTTCATTCAATAAAATGAATCGATTTTAAAGTTACAAATGGAACAATTTCTTGTTCCAATGCCTGAATGCTTTTAAAATCATAAACTCCTCAAAAACACATGCAAATGTTCAATTATAACACAAAGTCAACATTGCATATCCTGTGATGCGACTATTGCGAATGAACACATTGCGATATCGATTCTGAAACAATATATTGTGCAGCCCTAACACACTCTGAAACTTTGTATCAAATGCAGTTTCAACAAACTGATAGCCTCATTTCTCAGTGGCCGGTACAGTTGTCTTAGACCAGATACCATTTGATGTTATTGCTTCCGGATCTTGTTTAATCATCCAGGCTTCATGCAATTGTGCACCATGGTCAATATGGTGTAGAATGTGCAGAGAACTTTAAAGACTTTTCAGGTTTACATCCAAAGTAGTCAGTTCTGATTATCGATTGCTCTAAGATGAAGTGTTTCCAAACACATTGCAATTCCATTTCATGTCAGTGTTTTAGAGATGAAGTGAGCACTTGAGTCTAGCTTAAGTTTTGATAAAACATCCTCTCTCTGTCTTCCAGGTGATTCAGAGAATATTTTACACAGTCAATCGCTCCTGGACAGGCAAGATCAACATGACAGAGCTCAGGAGAAGCAACTTCCTCCAGGTAAACACTGTTAAATGCCATCATAACTCTAGGCTCTTCAGTGCATTCTGTTCAATTTCCGAAACTTGAAGGGACTGTTTAATCAGAAGCCACTCTTACCATCTCACCAGACGCTCGCCTTGCTGGAAGAAGAGGACGACATCAATCAGATCACAGATTATTTCTCTTATGAGCACTTCTATGTTATTTACTGTAAGTTCTGGGAGCTTGACAGTGACCATGACCTCTTCATTGACCCCAAGGACCTGGCCAGGTACAATGACCATGGTAAGTACACAGTAAATCCATTCGAAACAAGTCTCATTTATTAAACTTTATCATTGTTTTAGCGAATATTCACACAATAGTTAAGTTTGTTGGTAAACTATGCCTTTCATTAGCCTACTTTTGATGTGTGTCTGCTCTGTTCTTCTTTGCAAAGCTTCATCAAGCAGAATCATTGAGAGGCTGTTTTCAGGAGCTGTCACAAGGTAGGAGCTGCTGTGGAGAACAAAGGTCATTTCTGAGATTTTGACTTTTGAGTGTTTTATAAGTGGCTTAAGACCTGTTTTTTTTTTTTTCTTCTAAGGGGAAACTCAGTGCAGAGAGAGGGGAGAATGAGCTATGCAGAGTTTGTTTGGTTCCTCATTTCAGAGGAGGACAAAAAGAACCCCACAAGGTAAAAAGGCAGATGCAAATGCTGCTGTCACCAAGTTTTACTTTAGATCAGCTTTGAGAACCTATGCTGTTACAGGTTAAGGTAATTAACATAAATCCCAAAATAAAAAAACTCATTGTTTAAACTGTTATTTTAGCTTATTTTATCTTTGAGTGGTATTGACGGTGGTATAGAATTTTCATTTTAAAGTTGTGTTTTTGTTAATGTATTAAGTTTTTATATGTATGTAGCATTAATTCATGTTTACCTTAATATTTATTTTTTTGTTTAGGTATTTGAGTTTTAAGTCACTACATTAAGAAAAATTACAAAAAGGTTTTGCTATCTTAAAATTAATAATTGCTTTGGAAACAATCAAATAAATAAGATTCAAAATTAGAATAAAATGTAATTAAAAATAAATCTTGATAGGTTTCTTTTTCAAACAAATAAAAATGAAAAAAAGCTCACAAACATGCTGAAACCATGAAAATAAAGTAATAAAAAAAAATTAAGTATTATAATATATAAAATTACTAACTTGATTGAGGACATTAGTCTTTCAAAGAATGTGTTATGATTGGTTAAGTGAATAAATATTAGATTAATTATAAATTAATTAACCAGTCTCCATTGTAACAATAATACATTGTACTTACATATTTTTATTCATTCATTCATTTTCTTTTGGGCTTAGTCCCTTTATTAGTTTCGGGTCACCACAGCAGAATGAACAAGTATATGTTTTATGCAGCGGATGCCCTTCCAGCTGCAACCCATCACCTATCACTGGGAAACAGCCATACACACTCAATCACACATATACACTACGGCCCATTTACACAATTCACCTGTACCGCATGTCTTTGGACTTGTGGGGGAAACTGGAGCATCCAGAGAAAACCCACGCAAACATGGGGAGAACATGCAAACACCACACAGAAATGCCAGCTGACCTAGCCGAAGCTCAACCTTTTTGCTGTGAGGTGAATGTGCTACCCATTGCGCCACCGCATCGCCTTAGCATATTTATATGTTATGAGATAGTATCAAACAGAGTAGTGTGAATGCGAGATTCATAACTAGAAACATTTTAGATGTGGATCTTCACTTCTTTACTGTATGCTATATATTTTTGTCTTCCTGTTCAGTATAGAGTACTGGTTCCGCTGTATGGATATGGATGGAGATGGTGTTCTGTCCATGTTTGAACTGGAGTATTTGTACGAGGAGCAGTGTGAACGCATGGAGGGGATGGGCATTGAACCACTGCCTTTCCAGGACCTCCTGTGCCAGATGCTGGACTTAGTCAAACCAGAATGTCCAAGTAAAGAACGCGTTTTAAGTTTGACATTTTATCTAAAATATTTAATCAAAACAAAAAGATGTGAGGTTTTTATCACACACATCTGATTCCATTATTTCTTCCTAATGTCTGTTTACACCAAGGATGGTAACTCTAATGATTAAGATGATTAGGCAGTACAGTGTCTAAAATATTTTAATTATATTGTGAAATATCTGCTATTCCGATTCTCAAATATATAAAAGAACATAGATTTTAAACAGGATAATAATGGTCATATTGTTTGATGTAATGGGTGATGTATGTTAGAGATTTTGAGCCACTGCATATATAACATGTTAATTAATCAACTTTTTCATGAAATACATGAAGTCGCTGTTTAACTGAGTGATTTATGAGAAATAATGTGAACATTTTTCTGTGGCACAATGTGAACCATCAGGGAAAAACAGATTTGAAAGTAGCAACTGATTATGTGACCTACTGAAAGTTCTAATCACACCAGTGTGATCGTACACTTCAGGGACAAGCCAAGACTGATCACACTGGTATGATCATATCTGTGAAAGTGGAAGACAATCAATTAGAATAAACAGAATATCAACAAATGGCGAGGACACTGATATAGCATAATATCATTATAGTCATCATTTTTGGTGTGAATAAGCCTTTATTTCTTTTCATATCAGTTAAATGCTCACAAGAGAAAAAATGTGTAGGTACTACACATTTACTGAAATGTTTTGAATAAAAATGTGACATGCTGATAAATTGTTTACTTTGAATACTCTGAAATCTGCTTTGACTAAAAAGTAAATGAACGCATATGCAATTGTAAAGAACCGGTGACATATCTTGGCAGGTAAAATTACTCTTCGAGATCTGAAGCGCTGCAGGATGGCACACATTTTCTACGACACATTCTTCAATCTGGAGAAGTACCTGGACCATGAGCAAAGAGATCCCTTTGCAGTGCAGAAGGTACGAGTTTCCTGGGTTGCATCTATATCTAGATCCACTGTGCTGAATGTCATCTATGTTTGCACTCTGTGAGTGTGTTCAGTAATTGTAAGTGTGTGTGTGCGAATCAGGATTTGGATAGTGACGGTCCAGAGCCCTCAGACTGGGACAAGTATGCCTCTGAAGAGTATGAGATTCTTGTGGCAGAGGAGACAGCCAACGAACAGCTACGCGAGGGGTGAGTCAATGCGCTCTGTAATGGAATGAATTTGCTACAGACTTCACAACATTGCACAGCGCTGAGATACGGTCTATATGTGGCTGAATTTCATACGGTGGGAAGCGTAACTGTTGCGTGCTTGCTTTTGCAGGTCTTTCGATGACGATTACGAGTCCGATGAGCTCACAGTCTCCTCAGACATTGGAAATAAAATGGATAAGCTGGTCATATCTGATTTATCGGCATAATCTGCCGTTTTTTTGTCTACACACAGTGATGTTGAATGGAGAACCACCACGCCATATTTTCCCCTCACGTGTCAAAAAGGGAAAAAAGGAGAAAGTTTTTCTACGTTTCATTAAGGACAATTGTGTGTGTGTGCATGTGTGCAATAGAACTAATTCTAAAACCAAAAGGTTTCAGACACCCACAAAAAAGGCTTTATGTGCAATATGTCTTAACATGTATATGTAAACTCATTTTGTTTCACTCTCTTACTGATATCACATCCACTTTACCCTGAAACAAAACTGCCGGCTGGTTCCATCCACCCTTCACAAAGACTTTGATGTGAAAAAAGGACTTTTTAGTAATTTTAGAATGAGTTTTAGAATGTGTTTTAATGTGAGTGGAACTATATGTAATGCTGCCATATATTTTTAAAGGGTGGGGAGGGAAAACATACAGAGACTTTATAGTTGTGTGGCACGTAACTCACAAAAAAAAAACTATATCAGTCATGAGATTAGCACATGTCCTGTGCTATGCTGTGTTGCACATTTATGTTTAAAAGGGTTGTTCACACAAAAGAGAAAATTGACTCACCCTAAATTTGTTTCAAATCTATATGAGTGTCTTTCTTTTGTTGAGCACAAGAAGCTGTGTTGAAGAATATAGCCTTTGACTTTCAAAACTATGTCAGTTGATTTACAACCTGCATTCTACCAAACATCTTCTGTGTTCAACAGAAACAAAGAAATTCATATTAGTTTTGTAACAAGTGGATAACGATTTCATTTTTTTTTTTTTTTTGGTGAGCTATCCCTTTAAGGGACGTGGCAAATATGTTCCTCCCAGTGGTCACTGATGGTATTGCATGTTGTTGCTTAAAGAAGAGACAGAAAGTTGTGACTTTTTTGAGTGTTTGAACTTAACTACAGACATCAAACCTCTATTTATTTCCAGATAAACTGACCAGGACAATCTTAGACTTGAAAGTGCTTTTTTTTTTTTTTTTTTAGGGAAATGTCCTTTCTTAGCTATATAATACGTTTTTATCTGGGGACGAAATGGTCACATCTTTTTCAAGGAATGTTGAGATAAAAATAATAATAATAATTTATATTATATATATTCATGCTTTTCATCCTCAGTGTACAGAAACAATATATATGTATTTAATTTCACCTGTAATCATATAGAGAGAGCAATAAATCACTGTTTATTTGACTTGACCATAGTTAAAGACATGGTTCTCCTTAAAATGAAAATTGAATGATTGTTAAGCCATATAAGATGTCTGTGACTTGATTGTCTTCACCCAGTAGGCACAGGTTGTCAATATGATGTCAGATTGACGTTGTACCCCATTGTTGTGGGGGCGTTACATTTTGTTTGGAAATAAAAATCAGGTTGACGTCAGAACCCAACGTCAGGCTGACATTAATGTGTAACGTACAGCCTAAAATTAACCAAAAATCAACGTCTAATGATGTTACACCTAGACGTGATCAAACGTGACGTGACAGATCTAATGATGTTACAGCTATGACGTCAATCAGATGTTAGCTTTTGGTTGCCATACCTAATGAATAAATGTCAGTATTTGATGTCAACATGTTATTGGTTTAAGATGTTCAAGTTGGATTTTGGTCAATTTCCAACACAACCTAAAATCAACAAAATATCAACATCATTTGACGTAGATATTGGACATCAAAGTTACGTCCTTAGACGCTGACTAGACATTGAATTTTGGTCACCTGACATCACAACCTAAATCTAACCTTATGTTAATGTCTTATGATGTTGTGTGCCTGCTGGGCAGTGTAGAACATTTCAAGTTTTCAACTTGAATGAAGATCCTTGGTGATTCACATAATGCATCTATTTTCACTTTATAAGAGACCAAGTGTATCAAGCAAAAGCCATGGGTATTTATTTTTATTTTGCTTATAAATGTTTTTAAATCTCCCATAAGCCAGGTATTTTTTTAATCACCAAGGAAAATCTTCTTTAATGTTCCAAAGCTGCAAAAGAAAATCTCAGAATAATGATCCGAGGTAGAGTAAATTAACAGCAAATCTTCATTTGTAGGTGAACTATCCCTTTAACCCCTTGGTTGACCAGTCAATCAAACCACCTAAATTCAATCCATATGGATTTGAGCTCTCTTCTGCTGTTTTCACATTCAACATGAAACATCTAACAAATTGTAATTGCAAAAATACTGGCCTTTCATTAGTCGGTCAGACAGGTAGTCCTGCTCCCAATCTCACGCCATTGGATTAAAAGCACCACAAAGCCACAATGTTTACATGGAACTCAATCTATGCTTGCTTATAGTTCTCTGCACGTTAAGCTGGATCGTAGAAGTGTCTTTCAATGTGCTCGATGGCCAAACCTCCCTCCACCCCATCACACTCTTTGGTTTATGTAATTAGTGTAATATATTTATATATGTGAAGTGGTTTTGTTTGTTTTTGTTTGGCCAGCCATTTTCATGGGTTTACTAGTAGCTTTTTTCTTGTACTGTAGTGTAGCTCTCTTTTTTTTTTTTCGACATTTAGGACATTTATTTTATATAGCCACTGTAAATGTCTTTGTATTTTATTTTGCCATACGATTGACTCTGCCACTGAGTGGTAGGGGACATTTAAATTATGATATATCTATAACTGCCAGTGTTATATTATGTGCATTAAGCTGACTGGGCAGGGGCTTTATGAAGGAATTCATTAAGAATTCGCTGACCGGAGACAATCAACTGGACATGTTTCTGCGATTAATGACTTGCAAGTAGCACTTCTTATAAAAAAAGAAAAAAAAAGAAACAAACAGAGCAATACAACTGCTGTAGTGTGTTACACTTTTATCAGGACTATTAGATGAAAACAAGCTGAAACTAAACTTGACTAATGCTACAATCCTGGTTCATCATTTTTATCACTAGCACATTGAGCGCTATGCAAAACTGATCTTCTGGACAGCTCAGCTATTGGCAGCTACAGAAGCTGTAAACAACACAAACTTGTTAGTGTGCTACTTTTTTTTTCTTTTTATCTTTTTTTTGAGTTTTATATCTTTGGATGTTTTTCTTTTGGAACTGATATGTCTTGCTTTGAGACGGTGAAAGATGAGACTTATGATCTCTTAAGTGCTCAGATGAGATGGATCTGGTGTTCGCATGATTTTTTTTTCTTTTGGAAGATTATGAAAATAAAAAAATGTTATATAATGCAGCGGCTACAGGCTGTTTATTTGTAACTATAATAGTGATGGAGAAAAAACATGTATGTGCAAAATCCCTGACCCGAATAATGTTCCAAGTTTTTGAAAAACGTAAAAGTATGTTTTCACAGTTCTTCGGGGCTCCTATAGAAAAAAATCTGGAAAAAATCCTGATCTAAAGCTTGCAATGTTGCAAAAGATTTTAAACTTTAATTAATAAGTGCAATCCCTCTTTTTTACATGCAATCTAGGAAATATTGGCAAACAAATAATTGAATTTGATTAAAAACATTGTTAATGTGGCTTACATCTGTGTCTGGAGAAAGGTGATGCCATGCTGCTTTTCAGTGTAGTGGAGGTTTTTTTTTTAGTTACAACATGCCGAGCCTTCTACCGCCATTTAATTGGATGAAAGTTGTCCGCTCCCATGGACCGCAGGCTTTACATTAGATGAAATGCTCAGGAACCACAAAAAACATGCGCTGGCATATGATGTCCATTGTTATAGACACAAGGTCCGAAGAGGTTAATTTTAAGAATAGTTCACCCAAAAAATCTAAATGATCCTCAAGTAAAAAATTATTTCCTAATCATCCTACACAATCTAAGTTGTTTTCAAGAGACTTGTTATGCAAAAATTGCTTTTATAAGGGGTTTTAACACAGTTGTATGGCAACAATGTGTGAATATAGCCAACTTTTAGTAGTAAGAGTATATTAATTAGATTTTTTTTAATCACACTTCTGCAGTAGTTAGTTGGATTAGTCTGCAGAAACTACGGTGGCTAAGAGAGTGTTACGCGCTGCAATTTAAGAAAATGCATGCATATACAAAAAACACCAGCAAATAAAGAGACGATTTTCATCAATTTGACAGCACATGTGTTCCAAATTGGTCACAACACAAACAACTAAAGAAACACGCTGCAAATCAGTCAAAACACTTGCAAATATCCACGTAACACAACGGAGATGTTTCTATGGGACCAAAACCATGACGGACCCTGCTGAGATAGATGTGTTAAAAAAAAAAAGAAAAAAAAAAAAGAAGAAACACTTTGTTTGACAGTCTACTTTCATAGATGTCATCATTTGGGAAAACTCCTGCCCATTAGTGACCATATTTTCTTATTATTCTGAAGATAATGTCAGAGACAGAGGCGTTAAAATGTGGATGCACAAATGAACACTGTACCTTCTTCTGAGAGACTTTTTTTTTTTACATTTTCAGTTTGTTACAACGATAAATTTAGTCCTGTTTTGGCTCGTTTGTAGCATTGTCCTCTTTTGACATTCACCAAAACGCCACAATTTGCAGGGGACACAATACTGTCAGTGAGCACTGTCTTTCAGGAGAGACATTTGAGTTTAAAGCGACATTTACCAAAACATCACAATTTGAAGGGGACTCTATACTGCTTAATGAGAGCCGTCTTTTAGATGAGACGTTAAACCGAGGTCCTGACTCTCTGTGGTTATTAAAAATCCCATCACACTTCTCGTAACGAGCAGGGGTTTAACCCCAGTTTCCCTGGCCAAATTTCCTCCATCAGCCCTCACAGATCATGGCCTCCCATTTATCAACATCCACCCAATTGGCCCTATCACTGTCTGTCCACTTCTCCCTACAGCTGGTGTTTGGTGAGCGCACTGGCGCCGTTGTCCTGTGGCTGCTGTTGCATCATCCCAGTGGATGCTGCACACTAGTGGACGTGAGAAGAGAACCCTCTCATAATTGTGAAGCGCTTTGAGTGTATGGCCATGCACCATAAACACACTATATAAATACACATTACATTACATTACTGCTATTTGCATCAAAGCATAAAAGGGGTAGATTCAGAGAGTTATAAAACATTATTTGTGGGGTATTTTGAGCTGAAACTTTACACACACTCATCAGACACTTATTTTGCATCTCGTAAAAGAGGCATAATGGGTCTACTTCAAATAAATTTTTGGCTTAAAAAATATTCACAATTGTGCTTCTAGAAAAATGGACACTGGAAAGCTTTCCCAGAAGAGCTGAAGCTGTTGTAGCTGCAAAGTGTCAGTCAGCTTCATATTAAACCTTACAAATTAAAATATGTGTTGTTGATGTTGATTTAAAGGCAGATGTCTAAAACTTATATTGTAGACTAGTCAGTGAATAACCGAGCTTGACAGCACATTCTAAATATAAAGACTGAACATCCTGCCAAGAACATGATCATGAATAAACCCTTTTTTCCAATGATAAATCAAAGTGGGCTCTAGTCACAGTATATTCATTTTATGCCGATTATACGATTTGTGTTTGAGTATATGATGCCCCAACGCCAGTTAAGAAGCAAGATTCTAAATCCATATGAGAAACACTGTACACCAGTTTTTCTCAATAGCTTTGGCACATTTTTCAAAACAGACTTAACTTTGTCTAAACTGTGAGGGCAAATCTCTAAACTGTTTGCTGGAACTTCGGAACTATAGCATGTCTGCAAAATGTAGTTACTCCCCCAAACATTTCATTCATGCTTCAAAACTTAGTTACTGTACGGTGTCAGTAATTTGGTCAAGGCCAGCAAAACATAAAGTGTGTTTGTCATGGTGTGAGCCACACTGCTCAAAATGATCAGTTGTTTTTCACCATGACAGCCAACCATGGAAATGACAGTTTTTCTTGATTACTTTGATGCAGGCGTTAACTGAAAACAGAAACAGTGGCGCTCATGGTCAAAATGACATATTTGGCTTGCAAAACGCACATACCATGTCAAAACATTTAAAATATGCAACAAAAGCTAGTTTTACCTTCAAACAACACAACTTGCAAACAAGTATATGAGCTCTTTCAATTAATCATTACACAATGGACAACAAAACACAGAACTCAGTGTGAATCAGTGCACCATTGCTTGTCATTGTAGCCCATAGCCAATGCCATTTGTTGTCTTTCTATTTGGGTTGTCAAATTTGCCTTTTTTGCAAAGAATTGGATCCAGATCATAAGAAATGTTTTGATTAAATTTATATTGAATTCTTGACATTTTTCAAACTGTGGCTGAAAACTGAAATCCGCTTGTTAAGTGTGACGTCACGCGAAGCGGCTTCCGGGTCCAAGCGCTTTATTCAACTGAATGGGGAAACTTATGAAATGGTAATAATAAACGTTTACAAAGCGATTTAATGCTTTCGAAAATCACGATTGCAATATATATGTCCATGCCTAATATCCGATGGCCAGAAAGTGATACATTTTTTTATAAATTGTAAAATTTTTGGTATTTGTTATGCAGCAAGCCAAGAGATTGTTGTGTACACTATGACTTTATGTAAAATTAACTTTAATGTGTGATAGGAATAAAACGTGATCATAAACGAATGATTTCTCCACTCAAATGAATGGCAGCTTGGACCCGGAAACAGTATTACATACGTCACAAACACGTCACCACTTAACAAGCGGATACTGTAAAAAAACAAAAAAACAAACAAAAGTAATAAAATACTGTAAATATTAGAGAAAACACATGTAAACCAATATACAGTCAAATCTATTGGGGGTATAGGAAATAGCCACTATTGACCTCCTCCATCCATGCTGGCATAGAACAACACAGACCTCTCACCTTTTTTAATGTTTGCCGACTGATTGCTAATTGAAGATTTCTGTGAAGGAGTGTCAAAACATTGCTTCAGTCAATTCATACTGATCTTGGAAGTTTATAATGGTTAGTAATAGATGGTTTCTGTTTGGTTACGATAATAAAACAAGGGAGTTTGGACTGCTTGAATGACATCCGTGTTAACTGTTTTCAAAAATGGTGGGGAAAATGTGTCAACCCAATGAGAAAGGGTTTACACATTTGCAAGACCTGTCTTCTGCTCTGCTGGGATAGTGATAATGAAAATGAAGTGGAACATAGTTTCTTTAACCAGGTCAAAGCAAACAAGAAAAACTGTAAGCTTTAAAAAAATTTGATATTTGTTGAGAAGAGTGAATATTACATAGAAAAAGAATAAATGAACTTTTGTATTCATACAGTACATTTATTTGTGTACAAATGGACTACTTGCAAAGTGCAGTCTTGCTTGTCCGATTACTTTATTGTATGTTTCAAATTTCTTATGTTACCACAAATATAAACACAAAAACACAACAAAAATTTTATCCATGAAAAAAATCGCTCTTATATGTATTGTAGCGAGGCAGAGGGAAAACACAAACACAGTAGATGATGTTACAAACAATGCCCCGGAGGGTGCTTTTATTTACAAGTGAAAATGGGGTGAATGAGTGCTCTTCTTAAGGGTGCGTGCTCAAGTGCTCCGGGGAGATGGTGAAGACTGGTGAGAGGTATGGTGTTGGATCGGTCACGAGCTGGATTCGGCTGTGGGAGAGACAGAGAGAGACAAGCGTTAGCGCAGGGAGTCATGTCAAATGAAGCTCAACTCTTCCTGTGTGGGGCTGGCTTATATCTCTCCCTGGCTGATGAGGTCCAGCTGTGAGCGATCCGGGGTTGATGAATGATCCAGCTGGTGTGGATTTGTGCCCAGGGCGACGTGGTATTACCCGACTCGCTACATTCCCCCCCCCCTTAGCGTCGTCCTGGTCCTGGGTATCCTGCGAAGGAAGAGCAGTGTATTGAGAGGGGGGGTAGAATGTTTCGACAGACCTGCCCATCCTGACCAGAGCCGTGAGAGTCCGTCTGCGTTTCCGTGGGAGGCCCCGGCTCGATGTTGTACGTCAAAGTTGAAATCCTGGAGCGACAGGAACCATCTGGTGACCCGAGCGTTGTTATTCTTTGCTGTGGCCATCCACTGTAGCGGGGCGTGGTCGGTCACCAGAGTGAATTTCCTGCCAAGGAGATAGTACCTTAGCTCCAGGATTGCCCACTTGATCGCCAGGGCCTCCTTCTCCACCGTTGCGTAGCGGGTCTCTGCGGGGGTAAGCTTCCGACTCACGTACATGATGGGATGTTCTTCATCACCGTGGACCTGGGAGAGGACCGCGCCCAGGCCCGAGTCG